AAGAAATTCATTAAAGGGCTTGATACTCGGCACAGAGAACTTAGGGCAAGCTCTAGACAGTTCTGTGGTGAAGGGGGGAGAGAGAGGTGCCTGGTAGTTACTCTCAGACATCTTACAGTCCGTCTTGGATGCTCTCGGATGTTCCTAGAGGAAGGCGAGGCTGTTGCTGGAAGCATTTGAGAGTTTCAATTATTTCAATGCTGCTCTGTTGTAATGTGGTAATACTTTACTGGGATAAACTCTGGCTGACCCCCCCAGAGGATATGAGCTTGAAAACACTTAGGGTTTTGATTCGGTCAGAGGAGGCGTCTTTGCTTTTTGAAGCGCAAATCCAGTGGGAAGATTGGGTTTCTGGTACTCATTGTGCTTATGGGGTGAGGGCTGTGTCTTTCTATCCCAATTTTTGTCTCAAAAAGAAATAAATGTATCTCAAATACTAACCCCAAGATGTGTGGATAAAGCTGAGTAAGGAAGCTTCAGAGAGGAAAATGGGCTACAGATTTCCTTCTTTCTTGGTTGAAAACCTTGAATTATAAAATTACCTTCCTCCCTGAACTCTGGATACCGCTGAACCTCATCTGGGCCCCACCTCTTCCTGTCTTGGCATGAGCTGAGTGTAAATCCTGCCGTCTGTAGCCCTGTGAGTCACAGATACGGATTAAAGAGACTGATGGAAAGGTTTAGAGAAGAAATGCTTCTCCGGTGTGTGCAACCAGTGTGTACGCTCCCGTTCTGTGGTTGAAAAAGGCAAGCGCTGGATTTGGAGAGGTGGTTCAGTGGTTATGAGAATGTCCTGCTTTGGCAGGGGACCCAGATTCGGCTCCCAGGACCCATGGAGGGAGGACTGCTCACAACCACCTGTAACTCCAGATTCAGAGGCTCAGAGGCCTGTGGGACCCGAGGGCACCCCACTGATGTGTATATACCCATACATGCATACACACGACTTTAGAAAAGGTTAAGGCACATGCTAATAAATAAGTGTGATAAGCCAGGCACTGTGCTCTATGCCGTTAATCCCAGCACTTACTTGGCAGGCAAAGGCAGATGGATCGCTTTTGTTTGAGGCCAGCGTGGCCTGCCTAGTGAGAGACTGTCTTTCAAATACCAGCCAGTTAAAGGAGGAGGAAGAAGAAGAAAACAGTTAGCTTCTTTTACAGTTTACAATTAACCTAATGTTTATTACAGTGTTAAAGGTGGATTTATTAAGGTGATCTCTTGTTTAATTTTCAACGTCAACTCTTGGTTTTTGCAGTGTCTCATGTCGCCTAGGGTGGTTTTGAACCCCTAATCCCCCTGCCTCTTTCCCCCCACCCAAGTACCTGATGTTGCAGGTTTGGACCACCACGCCTAACACATCAAGATGGAGCCTAAGAGTCATCGAGTTGCCAGGGAACCCACCTAAACGTGCGATTCTGCCCCCACGTCCCCATCCCGCCTTTCACATTGCTAATTCAGTGCAATCCAACCTGTGCCCCGTTCTAGTGCTAGCCAGTTACAATGTGCTGGCTTTTTTGCTGATGGGCCTTATGGAGACAGCACTCTCCCCCCACCCCCACCCCTTATCTTTAGCTTTCATTTAAAATTCCCATCTTTCATATTCTGGTAATCGAAGCCTTGAAGTGGAGCTGTAATCTGAGTATCGCGTGTAATAACTGGACTCAGCATGGGCATTTTGAAGCCGACTGTTCCGTCTCCAGTGTCAGTATGGGGTGTTATTTCAGGGGGAGAGCAAAGAGGGTGAAGGACTTTGCTGGGAAGCTGGAAGAGCATGGTGAAATCAGGCCAGCACACCTCCAGTCTTCTGGTTCTGGAGGCCACGGAACCTTCAAGAATGATCAGTACCTGTTTGTCCGGAGCCAGCCTTTGGCCTGTGGGCAGTGACAGCAGGGGAGAGCTGGGTTTTGTGGCTGGTCCATCCCTCTTTCTTTCTTTCTTTTTGGCTTTTTGGGACAGGGTTTCTCTGTGTAGTTTTGGAGCCTGTCCTGGATCTCGCTCTGTAGACCAGGCTGGTCTCGAACTCACAGAGATCCACCTGGCTCTGCCTCCCGAGTGCTGGGATTAAAGGCGTGCGCCGCCACAGCCCAGCCCTTCCCTCTCTCTTTTAGTGTGTGTGCATGTGCACGGCACATATGTGAAGATTAGAGGACAGCTTCCTATTCCAGTTCTCAGTCACCTTTCACCTTTTGTTTGAGACTGGGCCCTTCATTATTCACCAAGTAGTCCAGGCTAGCCCATGAGCTCCAAGGATCTAGCTGTCTCCATTTCCCATCTCACCATCTCTGGGATTACAGCATGTCACCACACCTGACTTTTTGAATAGGGTCTGGGGATCCAAACCAACTCAGGTCTTCGATTGGAACTGAACCAACCACTCCCGCTGATGGCTGGTGCTTTTTCCCCCCATGAGTTATAGGTTCAATTTGGGTTATCAAGCTTGCATGGCAAACCCTTTACACACCCTGGCCCACATTTAGCAATATTTTTTAAAAAAAAAAACTAATTTGTTTTTATTTTAAATGCATTGGTGTTTTGCCTGCATGTACGTCTGTGTGAGGATGCTGGATCCCCTCAAACTGGAGTCACAGACAGTTGTGAGCTGTCATGTGGGTGCTGGGAATTGAAGCTGGGTCCTCTGGAAGAGCAGCCAGTGCTCTTAACCACTGGGCCATCTCTCCAGCCCATAGCAATCTTTTTAAAGAAAAAGAACAGTTGTTTTCTGGGCTGTGGGAACAGCAGCTGTGACGCCTCGCAGCCTCCTCTCGCCTCCCTCTTCTGTGTCCCCAGGTCTTCTCACACAATCCTTGCCAGGAGAACCTAGTTCTCAGCTTTACCCCCACATCCTGGCTAAAGCCCTAGACACTCCCTGCCTGGCCTAGGATTCCCGGGTCACTGTCATTTGCTCAGCATGTGACTGCTTTGTGGCACTTTGTACAGCTGCCGCTTAGTAATTACATATTTGATCATCAGTTTTGAAGAATGGGGATCATCCTCGGTGGTTAGGAGCACTGGCTGTTCTAGAGGACCCAGGTTTGACTCGCAGAACCCACCTGGCGGTTCACAATCACCTGTATCTCCAGTTCCCGAGGATCTGATTTCCTCTTCTGCCCTTCTTGGGCACTGCATGTGTATGTTGCACAGACATACATACATGCAGGCAAAACACCCAGACGCATAACTAATTAAAATGTAAACCTCAGTTCTAACCGGAGGACGCCTTACTATTTATCAAGCTCAGTTATTTTTCTTAACCTGTATCTAGTCACAAAGAAACATGGCTTTATTTGTTTATTTATTGTTTAGTTTTAAACGGTTTTAAAAAGCAGAGCTGGATCTTACCATTTTTTTTAAATTGATTTACTTTATTTTATGTGTGCGGGTGTTTTGCCTGCATGTATTTATGTGTACCATGTGTGCCTTGTCCCCTTGGAGGCCAGAAGAAGGCATCAGATCCTCTGCAACTAGAGTTCTAGATGGTTGTGAGTCCCCGTGTGGGTACCTGGGGCAAACATGGTCCTCTGTAAAAGCAGTCGGTATTCTTAACCCTAAGCTATTTCTCTAGTGCCCAGCCCTTCTTTTAAATTTTAACATGTATTTGCGTGTGCTGGTGAACATACCTATGTGTTGTATGTGTGTGTGGAGTGGCATGGGAGGTCAAAGGGCAGCTTGTGGGGGCTGGTTTTCTCCGTCTACCAGAGATCAAACTTGGTGAACGGACTTGGCAGGAAGTGCCGTTATCCACAGATCCATCTTTCCAGCTCAAAAGTTGGGCTGTATTAAAAGGCATTTGAACAGATTTAGGAATAGGCATTGGTAGAAAGAGAGATGCTCAGGGGGAAGAATACGATATATCCAAGAGCGTGGGTGTGGATTTTTAAAACCAAAGACACTGAGATGCTATTTTATAGGGAAAACATATTTTTAGGGTCAGAGATGATAGATTTCTCCCCTAGCACACCAAGGCCCTGGGTCCCCACCACCACAAGGAAGCGTAAAAAGAAAGGAACGAGAAAAGTCTGGCTTCCATGCTAGTCTGTAAGCTCAGTGTGGTAAGACTCACCTGAGTTCTTCATTGTAGTTTCTGCAACGGGATCTTGACTAGTGAACGCACAAAAGAAGGAGCGGACGGATATGTACACACACTTCACACACCAGGGTCCGTCTTTGGGTGTTAGGACATCGTGTACTCTACACGGTTGCTGAAGATGAATATAGAACTTACATCTTCTTCATCATGGAACCTCCGTTTCTCTGTATTCCTCCAGTTCATAGTTTATACTCTGAAAGTCGAGCTCACCTTTCTTTTTCTTTCTTTCTTTCTTTCTTTCTTTCTTTCTTTCTTTCTTTCTTTCTTTCTTTCTTTCTTTCTTTCTTTCTTCCTTCCTTCCTTCCTTCCTTCCTT